TTTGTAACCCAGAAAAATGCACTCCTTCGATTTTGCATCAAGTTTGGATCTCTCATCAGCAGGTACATGCACATAAGCAGGACAACCAAAAATCCGTAAGTTATCAAAACTAACATCATGACCAGTCCATACCTCTTCTGCAACTTTCCCAGCCAGCGATGCCCTTGGCGATCTGTTGATAAGGTAACACGCCATGTTAACAAGCCTCAGCCCAGAAGTTTTGGGAAGCCCCGCATTCAACCGCAAACATCTGGCTCTTTCATTCAACGACCTGTTCATTCTTTCCGCAACACCATTCTGTTGTGGTGTCTTGCGCACTGTAAAATGCCTCTGAATCCCATGCTCCTTACAGAATTGTAGGAACTGTGAATCTGTGTACTCCGTACCATTGTCAGACCGCAAACACTTGATTTTTCGTCCTGTTTGGTTTTCTACCTCAGCTTTCCACAGCTTGAACTTCTTAAAAACTTCAGATTTCTGTTTCAAAAAATACACCCAAACTTTCCGTGAAAAATCATCAATAAAAGTAACATAGTACCTAGATCCACCCAAAGACGATGTCGGAAGGCCCCCATACATCAGAATGCACATAATCAAGAATCCCTTGAGTTGTGTGCTTCGCAGTCTTGAAACGGACTTTAGTCTGTTTACCAAGAACACAATACTTGCAAAAATCGAGCTTACAGCTTTTGACACCATGCAACAAGTTTCTCTTGTGTAATTCTGCCATACCACGTTCACTAAGATGAGCAAGGCGCATATGCCACAATTTTGTCGTATCATCACAAGACTCAACAGAGTGAACTCCACCTGCAACGGTACTCCCTAACAATCTGTAGATATTCCCTGCAGTCATCTTGCCTTTCATCACAGTCAATGCTCCTTTAACAATCCGAATGGTTTCCCTATCCTCGTCAACCTTAGGATAAAACCATTCTTGTGCAAAGTGCCCAAGGAAATCAAATTCTTCTTCAAGTCTGGGATATGTCGAACACCACTCAACGTCCGAACGGAGCCATCGTGCATCTTAATTCTGACATCACCAATACCAATAATATTGCAACATCGATCATCACCCAAATAAACCGAACCAGAATTAACCGGCCTGTACGTCGAAAACCATTCCCTATTTGGCGTGATGTGATAAGAACATCCATAATCAAGAATCCAAGCATCCGTCAATTGTGTCGTTGAAATAGAAAGCATATCACCCTCACTGCAATAAGAAGTATCATCCTCGACCACGTTCACAGACTTGGATGAGCCATCACGCTTCTCATCAGTCTGCTTTTTCAACTTCGGACAGTCTCGCTTCATATGTCCCGCCTCCTTGCACTTGTAACAGTGAATCGTCTTCTTATCCCTGGATTTGGATCTGGAATTCCGTTTCCCGGACCCTGCCTTCTCTGGCTTCCGTCCACGATCTCGATTACCCTTGACATATAAGCTATCGGCTTGAGAGCTTTCCCCTGCATTCTGCTTCCGCTGGTTGTGAGCCAACAGGCTGCAGTAATCTCCTCAACGTTGATAGTCTCTTTCCCATATGTAAGTAGTCACCATGTGTTCGTAGAGGAAGGCAACGAACACAACAGAATCATCGCTCTGTCTTCATCCTCATTTTCACATCAAGCCGAGCCAGATCAGAAACGATTTGATTGAAGACATTCACGTGTTGCGCCAAATCGTGATCGTCCTGCATCTTCAGCCCATACAGCCGCTGCTTCAGATACAGTTTTGTCGTTAAGGATTTGGACATAAACTGACTTTCCAACTTCCTCCAAATTTCGTCTGGAGACGATAGATGCATGACGTGATACATGACCTCGTCCGCCAAGCATAATCGTATGGTTCCTGCCGCTCGCTGCTGCAATTCTTCCCAATCTTCCTCATCCATCGACGCCGGCTTTGTAGGTCGCAAAGCCTTCAAGATCCCTTGCTGCGCCAATATCCTTCACCCTCGTTGCCATAATCCGAAGTTACCCTGACCATCGAATTTCGCGACTTCGAATTTTGCTCCTGACATCTGATACCAATTGTTGACGAAAACGGGTAAAGAAAACGAAAGAACACGAGAATTTTACGAGGTTCGGCAATGTGCTTACGTCCTCGGTGCCTAGGCGGCGCTAGAATTTTATTCAATGATATTTTAGGTCTAGGTTACATCTCTATTTATAATAGAAAACCCTGGTATATAATTACAAAATCAACCCTGTACCTTTACTGGTATAATTATGAGCCATACCTAACAATTTATTTGCAGTTTGGGTTTGATAATATCGAAGTTAAAGGCAGTGGAGCAAAGCCAATAATCAAACTCCCTTTTTCCCTCTCTAAAAAGCTGCTGCCTCTATAACCTTCACTGACACGGTTCTCACCATGCTAGAGACGGGTGTGGGAGATGAGGGTTTTAGGGGCTAAATTATTAAAATAAGACCCTTTTAATCTTTTTTTGTTCTAATAAAATAGCACCCCAAAATTTTTAATTTCCAAACAGAATAGTTCAGAGAAAAGTAACATATGCTTATTTTTCCAGCTCCAGATTATCCCCGGCCGTTTCTAGAAACTATTTGTTGTCTTTGTTATAGTGAGCCTTAATATTAGTTAAACATTTGTGGGCGCAGCATGCTCTAAAACATGGATCAAGAAACCGCATATCCCGTGTTAAACTTGGATGGCTTGTGGATAGTGTCAAGAGGGATGTTTTGTTGCAGGATTTGCTGTATTGATTTGGTTAGAACTTGCAACGTTGTAACTTTGTTTAGTATGATAATTGGAACTCGTTTTTCTTATTGTTGCGGTTGTTCCTTCCTCGTATACTATTTTAGAAATAGATTCCATACTTTGGTTGATTGATGGGCCTTTGAAAATGGATACCCACTATTCACTCCATTTCATCTCTCAATACCTTCTTTCGTCTTTATTTTCTTCCTCATTTTTATTCTTCTAAATTTTATTTTTATATTTATCACATATTAAAATATTTTTATAATGTTCTTAAATTGTGATATCGACAGTTTGTTATAACTAAATTATAAAGAAATATGAAAATTAATCATGTCAAATCATCAAGAATAAAATATTAAATTTACAAAAATCTACACGAATTAATTGATATATTGAAATCTTTAAGTTTTTATTTGGTTGCGATCTTCCGATAAGATAAGTTTACTCTTGTAATAAAAACTCTCTGAAGAGATAAGACTAATACAAGTTAACATATTTCTTTGAGACTACTACTCTTTATATAGATTGAATATTAGGTCAATCTTTTAAGTATTTATAATTTTGTCCCTCATCAAATTATAAATACAACTTATGGTATGTACATATTGATTCTATGATACTTTAATATATATAATACATATAACATAATTAATCACTTAATTTTATGTCATATTTTATAATAATATTGTACATTATATATACGGACTACAAATATGGATTTTATTCAAACACGGTTAACATCTTATCATATTTTTTATTATATTAAAATATTGATCGTGTTTATTTTTCGATCATTCCGCAATGGAGAATGCAGTTTAGTATTTAGTTGAGTTGATGGGACAGCTTTAGCCTACTTCGCTGGTCCCCAACATTTTTTTTTTGGATAATTGGTCCCCAACATTGATGAACATGTTAAGTGACATCCAGCTCATTTTCCCTGTAATTCCTCACTCAATAAGATAATAATTTTTATGTCAATTCGGGTATTTTATGGCTATGGTTAATTGTCAAACCTATCTTTAATTTTGGCTTTCCTTATGATACTAATTTTAAGAAATATACAAAAATATATATATAAGGGTAAGGGACCCCTTAAAAATAAAGGACAACCCCCGCTTTTTCTCCACGTTCATAAAATGCCCTTGTGAAAGCAAAGTAAAAGTTGTCATGAAAAAACCCTTCAAATTGTTATTGCGGGTAGCCTACCATGCCAAGATTGGGATAATGCCCCAAAGATTAAGATTGGTGCCCAGTAATCAACATTGAGAGATGAGCAGATCAAATGTATGTCAGAACTCCCAATTTTTCTACTATTATCCTTTCGGCTGTGCCACCTACCATGCATTATTGTTCATACACCTATTTAATTTTTCAACCAAAATTATATAGCCTCTTAAAGTATATATTTTTCAATCCAACGTCCAAAAAATGTATTTGATAGACTTGAGCTGAGTCAAATTAAAAAAATAATCTTAATTAATTGATTAATTATATTTTATAATTTAAATTTTATTTAATTTTTTTGAGTCGACTCGTATCTATAAATTTTGAGTTTGAGTTAAGTCGAATTGTTTAGTTTCTATATAAATTTAATTGGCATTTTTTATAATATTATGGAATAATTTTTTTTATTGATTTTCTCTAATAAGATAAGATGTGCATATATATATATATATATATATATATCAACTTTTTAATATTTATAATATTATTTGTTAAAGAATATAGCTTGAGAATGAAATATTGATATGAGCATAAAAGAGTCAAATAATTGATAGGAAAAAAAAGAATGTAAAATAAATTACGGTCAAAAGATTAAATAAATAAAATAAAAATTAATAGATCAAATTGAAAAAAAAATAGTTTTTTGGTTTACTTAAATTTCTTATATTCTAACTCAATTTAAACTAAAAATTCAACTCTATAATTGAAGGTAACTCAAAAATTTAAAAATAAAAAAATATTTTCGAGTAGCCAACATTTTTGTGATAATTTAGTCAAATTATATAGTTTCCATAAAAGAAACCCTATAAGTCGCATGTAAATATCGATGCTAATTCAAAGACCTAAGCACTATTAAAATGGTTAATTAATTAATAAACAATCATAACTCGCCTTACTTCATGGGCCAACACGTTTGGACACAAATAAACCTCCAACCCAAGCTCAATTATTGTGGAAAAGTGACTGATTTTGTTATTAACTTCCGATTAACATCAAATATTAATGAAACAAAAATGATCAGAAAACAAACTATGGCAAGAAAAGAAGAGAAGTTTTACTCCACGTGTTTTGTAGTTTTCTTTGCTTGATCTTCTTCATTTTCCCCTGATCTGCCACATTATTTTCACCATTTTCCTTTCTTCAATGTCTAAAGGCATGAAGGAAGAAACACATCAAGGGAACAAGAGTTGAGACCCAACAAGCTAGCAATTTTTCAGACCCCGAAGGCGGCGGGGGAGTGTGGTAATAAAATGGGAAGTAAGGCACAATGGGGTTCGGAGGTGGCGGCGTTGGGTAGTTTTTGTACGTCGGTGGAGGGTAATACATGCCACCGATGACGCCATTTGGCGGCGGAGGAGCGTAGTAGTTGTTACCACCTCCGGATTGTGATGGTGGTGGTGGTGGAGAGTAGTAGTAGTTACCACCACTACCGCTAGAGCTGGGTGGAGACGGCGGTGGTGGACAGTAGTTGGAGCTAGAAGCAGGTGGAGGTGGAGACGGTGAAGGCGGCGATGGGTTTTGTTGCTGGCATGGGGTGCATTTGATGTCGTTGGAACTGGTTTCTGCTGAACCAACCAGTACTGAACTCAAAAACATAGCCAGGAATGTCGAAACAGCGGTAATTGTATGAATTTTTTTCATTTTTCTGGGGAAAAATGATTCCCTGTTTGGATAAAATGAGTTTTCTTGGGAAAGAAGAAGGGGAAGAGGTGAATTGAGTGAGTGAGTTGAAAGGAAATGAGTAAGATGCCTTAAGATTGAAGTTTGAAGTTAACGGAAAGCTATTTTTATACGATGGATTAAATGGAAGTTGTTGACTCAAAAAAGGAAGAGGAAAGGAAAAAGTGTGGGTTAAAATAAATTTAAAAAATATGAGCTTCAAGTTCCAAAAGACTACACCGACACGTTTTTACTTTAACCTTTAAACAGAGCGCCGAATTTTACGCGGAATCTGAGGAGTTTTATGTCCATTTTGTCAAAATATGAGGGTAATTTTGGGATTTTAAACATCATTCATGCACGTGTTGGCAGCTAATTGGATGGGTTAAAAATTTGATGAAGTAAATTTTGTTTCAAAATTCATACCTCTTTTACATATTAATTTATCTCATAAGTTTGTGTAAGAATGATTATTTTACTACTTGCTTTCAGGTCGAGCACCTTACCGAGTGAGTTATGCAAGGTAAATAATTGTGACAATGGTGTCACAAAATTGAGTAGAGGATAATAGCATGCCTTGGAGAGTTGATAGACATTAATCCTACGTCCAAAAGAAGAAGAAGAAATGTACTAAAATTTAAGAAAGAAAACGTAATGGCCATGTGACACTTGCACAATATAATAACTAAAAAATTTTAAATTAATTTAGAATTATTTTGTGTAAATTAATTATTAAAATTATTTAAGATCCATTAATCGGTTAAAGATGTTTATTTTATCTCATTTTGCATGAATTTAAATTCTTATATTTACTTTGAAAATATAATATATCTTCACTTAATCGAAAAATAAATAAAACTAGCAATAGTTCATTAAAAATTATTTTTAATTTAAACTATTAATTTATATTTACTCATTAATATTAAATTAAATAAAAAATAGAAAAATTATTTCCACCGTGTAATTGTATTGTACCGGGATGAATTTATAGGGTCATAAGTGGGGGGCTTGACTGAGATGACGGATTGGGTGAATCAGCGCAGACGTGACAAAGAGGCAAGCTAAACGTGTTGCTTTTCCCTTATGTTTTTTTTCCTCTCTAACTAACTACTTTTTTTTTTATAAATTTCATATTATTATCCAAGAAGCAGTAGTAAACATACTGTTACAACCAATACAATGCACAAACCAACACCCACCTCCTAAGAGGATCTAATTCCCCAAGCTAGACAAAGGTCCCTATTGGCTACACTACTCTGTATAACCATACGAACAGATTTCATCCTAACAACCTCAATAATACAATTCACTACATTAACAACATCCCTACTGTGACCCCTAAACTGTCTATGATTCCTTTCTTCCCATATACAATATATATATGCACACCAGACAGTTCTAAGTATAAAAACAAGAAAAGTTTCCCCCCTGAATCTGGAGACTGCCCAACTTAATTCCTCATCCCAACTTCCCACTGTTATGTCGATATTACACAATCGATTGATCATCTCCCCAAATAGCTTTCGTGTATGAGCATTCAAAGAAGACATGGCTACGGGTCTTGGCCTCGGCTCTACATAGCCTACACTTATCATCCACCCCAATCCCCATACGGATAAGTCTGTCAACCGTTGGCAATATGTTGAGGATAGCCATCCAAGCAATGAGAGAGTGCTTGGGAGTGTGCAAAGGAAACCATATAGCCTTATGCCATTCTACCTTCACTGTCCTCCCTCTAATCTCCTGCCACGGCCAACGAGCATTAATTCTGCCCCAGTCCATGATCCCCGAGAATAGGGGTTGCACTTCCTCTCTAACTTTTAAGATTTTTCCGTATGCACCAACTGAAATATGGTTTACTTTCAACAGACCAGAGATCCACTCCCTTAAAAACGTAAGATCTCACCCCAAGCAACCCAAAGTGACCCCTCTGCCATAAGAAGCTCTTTAACCAATAACAAAATACAAGCTTTGTTCCAGCTAGCTAACTACTTATATCTTAACCACAATGCTAAACTGATGCTAATGTTTATATTTTTTCTCTCTCTTTTTATTATTTTTTGAAATATGAACTTAAAAATAGTTAAAGTAATAATTATTAACATGTATAATCAGATCAGATCAATTAATAATAGTAAATTACGTAATCCAAGGCTGGCCCTAAAGGTTTTAATACTATATTTTATAAATAAAAAATAAATACAACACATTTTAAAAGAGTAAATATCTAAATGAATATATAAAAAAACCATTAATGATTGCATATCCTATGTGTTGTTTATAACTGTAATGTCAAATATCATATAAAATTATTTGAATAAATAAATAAATATATTTTATAATGTAATGATTTCTCAATATGTATACACTTTCGGCCGAACCTATCCAGGCTGGGGAGGAGACATATGCCCGATTGGATTCACAATAATTCAATTTTCTTTTCCTTTTTCTTTTTTCAATTAATTTGATTGGAATGTGCAATATGTCTTAAAAGATTCCCGGCTCCTTGATATATATAGCTTGAAAAAGGGAAGAAAATATAGAATCTTACTATACATCTTTGGTTTCCCTTGACTTTCTGGAGCCCTAAGGAAGCTTTAGGAATCAAAATAAATCCTTTTTTGAATGTTTTGGAAGATGGTTGCTTATTTGGAACAGACTATGGTTAAATGGACTAAAATCATCTTATATTATTTGCACTGCACTCCTCTAGGCAGAATAGATGAAGCAAAGTAGTGGGCGATTTTCCCGATATATTACCGGTGACCGGTAATTTTATTGATTTAACATCGGTCATACTATATTTCCCGATTTAACACCCTTAGCAGTAAAGCGCGCCCCTTGCACCGCGCTATACGATGATTTGGCGTCACGTGGGGTATAGCGCGCCCCTTGCACTGCGCTATACGGTGAGATGGCGCCACGTGGGTATAGCGCGGCCGCTGCAGCGCGCTATACCTGTATATCTGACACGTGGGGTATAGCGCGGTACAGGGGGCGCGCTATACCCCTAATTACCGACCCCTCCCCTCCCCCATCCTCCCTATAAATACCCCCGTCCTCAATCACTTTTATCACACCAAAATCTCTCAAATTCTCTAAATTTCTCTCAAATACTCTCTTTTTAAGGTATATTTTATAATGTTTTTACTATTATGTTTTTACTTTATTTAATATTTTACTAATATAATTCTTTTACAGATATATAATGGAAGGTAATCTATTTCGCTCGGATGGAAATCATATATCTCTACACTTTGCTGATACGGTAACATTTTAACGTTTTAATTTAAATTATTAATAATATTTAGTTATTTATTTAATGCATGATTATTATATTAATAATTAAATATCTCGATACTTTGATGATACGGTAACATTTTAACGTTTTAATTTAATTTAAATATTATTGATTCATTTAATACATGATTATTAGATTAAGAATTAATTTTTGTAATTATTTATTTTTAGGAGAAGGACCGTGTATTAGATCCTTTTATTAAGAATCTTAAGTTAGTGATACCCAGCCGTGTCTTGCCGTATTTAGTAGAGGCTGGATTCGGTTACATAGGTAGATATCAGGGTCACTGTAAGATAGAGCCAAACCTTTGCCTTAGTAGGGCGGTGGAGGTCGGAGACACACATTCCCATCTTCCGTGCGGAGAGTTCACGATCACTTTGAGGATGTTTCTATGCACCTGGGGCTTCCGGTGGATGGAGATGTGATATCGAGGATAGCTTCCGGTTCTTGGACTGCTTTATGTCGGGATAGTCTAGGACGTGTCCCGGAAAATTTTATCGGAGGTAGGATACCGTTAAATTGGTTAGATGCCAATTTTCGGGAGTTGAGCGCAGACACCTCTGAGGATGAGGTTAAGATGTATGCACGGGCATGCATACTGCAGCTGATAGGATATTTGTATTTACTCTTTTGTGATGATGACAGCGAGGAGTCAGAACCAGTGATACGAAGAATCCTCCTCGACCGACAGCCACCGCCCTGCGGAACACATTCGCGTCATAGGCATCGATAGTTTTGTTTTTTATTATATTTGTATTTACTTTATTTTGTTAAATTGTAATTTTTTTATTATTTCTCATTTAATACTTACTTTATTTTGTTAAATTTGTTGGACTTTTTTAATGTATTTCAGTTCATTTTTTATTACCATTTAATATCAGTTATTGTAATTTGGTTATCATTTACCATTTAATACTTATTGTTATTAGTTTGTTAAAATTTAATGATTGTGTTTGTTTTTTAATCTTCATCGGTGATTATCAAATGACATTAACTTGAAGTAAATGCAAATTAAAGTAGAAGAATTATTATTTGATAATAAAATACATCATTTCCTCATCAATTGTTACTTGATGACAACATAATTGGACATGTTTTTCTAGTGTGTCCTGGGTTTCTACGATGACCACATCTTCTGTCTTGTCTAGATCTTTCTCTAATATCCATATATTTGATTGGATTTTGGACGACCACGCTCCCTCAATAAACTCAGATTTGGTACAATCAGAAGCCAATCTTGAACCTCATCAGGGTCTTCTTCATTACCTATGGGGGAAACTCAAATTCGTATACCTTAAAAACTTCAGATAGTAGGTATACGGGATCCACAAAATGGTTATAGTCTTGACGTGTATGCGAGCAAGCTGCTATCACATGAGAGCATGGATACTTTAGAGCTTGAAAAAACCCGTAGTCGCACATTTTGTCCCTTAGATTTACTCTTAACGACACAACTTCAATCCCTTGAAGAGGTCGCGGCAACTCTGTGACATGAAACATTTCATGCCTTCTAGAGAAGCTTGTTACAGACATTCCATTTGATGCATCAATTTTTTCTGTAGATCTGCAACTAATTTAGGGTGATAGACATGACCGCCTTGCATCCAGGTTTTAGCTTGTCCCCCGAGCTTTGCAAAAAGCGCCCCAAAACGAAAATATGTAGTCTTTACCAAAGCCGCTACTGGTAAGTGACGTGCACCCTTTAAGGTTGAATTGATTGCCTCTGCCAAGTTGGTCGTCATGTGTCCATATCGATATCCACCATCATATGTGTTCGTCCATATTTCTTTATCGATGAGGCTGA